ACCCTCATGAATAAGGTATTACAACCTTTCCTCGATCAATTTGTTGTTGTCTACTTGGATGACATCATGATATATAGCAAGACATTGGAGGAACATGTCCAACACCTGAGGCAAGTGTTCCAAGTTTTACAAGAGAACGAGTTATACGTCAAACAAGAGAAGTGCTCGTTTGCCCAAAAGAAAGTCCCCTTCCTAGGTCACATCATAGGAGGGGGCATGATCCAAATGGATAAAGACAATATATAAGTCATTGAAGATTGAAAGCCCCCAACCAAGGTAACTGAACTAAGATCCCTTTTAGGATTAGTCAATTACTATCGAAGATTTGTCAAAGACTACTCCAAGATAGCCACACCCTTAACCGAATTACTTAATAAAGACAAGCCATGGGTTTGGGAACAAAAATGCTAAAAGGCCTTTGACAAGATCAAACTCCTTCTAACGAAAGAGCCAATGTTGTGCCTGTCAAAACTACATCAAACCTTTCAAGGTTCACATCGACACATCCAATATTGTCATCGGGGGAGTCCTTATGTAAGATGGACATCCAATTGCCTATGAAAGCCTAAAACTCAATGAGACTGAAAAAAGATACTCAGTCCATGAAAAAGAGATGACTGTTGTAATACACTGCTTACGCCTATGGAGACACTATGTACTTGGATCAAAATTCATAGTGTTCACCGACAACATCGCGAACAGCTACTTCCTGACCCAAAAGAAGTTATCCCCCAAACAAGCTTGTTGGCAAGAATTATTTGTCAAATTTGATTTCTCCATGGAACACAAGTCAAGAAAAACAAATTGTATCGCCGATGCCTTAAGCCGAAGGTACAACATCGAAGTCATTAGCTCACCAAATGGACAAATGTTAGAACACATAAAAGAAGGGCTATCGCATGATCCATAAGCCTAATCACTGATCTAATACGCCAAAGAAGGAAAATCTAGAAGATTCTGGCTTAAGAGAGATCTACTATATGTACGTGGGCACCACATATATGTTCCCAAGTATGGAAAGCTGTGTAAGGAACTCCTTATGGAATGCCATGATTCCAAGTGGGCAGGACATCCAGGGACCTATCGAACAATGACCTTGCTAAACGAACATTACTACTGCCAGCACATGAACGAAGATGTAGAGGAGGCCTACGTGAAAACATGCTTTGTGTGCTAACAAGATAAGATAGAAATGAAAAAACCGCTAGGATTGCTACAACCTTTACCCATTCCTGAACGACCATGAGAAAGCATCTCAATGGACTTCATCGTTGGACTCCCACACTCGAATGGTCTATCAAGCATCATGGTAGTAGTTGATAGATTCTCCAAGTATGGAACATTCATCCCCGCGTCTAAAGTATGCACAGTCGAGGAAGCAGCCCGCCTGTTCCTCAAACATGTGGTAAAATACTGGGGCGTTCCAAAGACAATAATCAACGACCGAGATACCTGATTCACGGGTAAATTTTGGACCGAGCTATTCAAATTGATGAGGACAAGCCTGAACTTTTCAACTATAGTCCATCCACAAACTGATGGGCAAATCGAAAGAGTCAATGGCCTCCTAGAAATTTATCTTAGGCACTACGTAAGTGCTACACAACGCGACTGGCTAAAGCTTCTGGACGTTGTACATTTTTCCTACAACTTGTAAAAGAGTAAAGCCACCAACCAAAGCCTGTTCGAGATTATAAACGGGCAGCAACTGCTTACACCCAACACGGTTATAGCTGGGTAACAAGGACCAAATCCATCTGCTTATCAATATTCCAAGGAATGGCAAGACAACCATGAGTTAGCACAAGCCTGCCTACATAAAATAGGGAAACATACCAAGAAGTGGGCAGACAAAAGTTGAAGGGACGTAAATTTCCAAGAATGAGATTTAGTCCTTTCCAAACTCACAAACATATTACGCAACCAAGATAGACATAAAGGGTTGGTGCGAAGCTACGAAGGACCATTCAAAATCAAGAAACGAATAGGCATCATGGCTTACAAGTTAGACTTGCCACAAACCATCAGGGCTCACCCTATGTTACACGTGAGCCTACTTTTCATCCAGACAAAGATGATCCCAATCGAAATATTTCTCATTGAGCTCCAGTTGGAATAAAAGCCTCTTACGAAAGGGAAGTAGAAGTCATCCACGTTGAAAGAGCCAATCCCCGAGTGGGGCACAAACCAAGGCACGAATACCTGGTTCAATGGAAAGGGTTTCCCGAAAACGAGGGGAGGTGGGAACCTGCCGAAGCCCTATAGCAATTCAAGGACAAAATTGAGCAATTTCATTCAAGTCGAGCGATGAGTGTGTCGCTAGAACTAGTGGGGGAGAATGTCATGGCCGCGACTTTGAGGGTGAGTCCAACATCCACCAGCACACATCTGCGCTCACAAAAGCACTCCCAAGCCCAAATGCATCAAGCGATGAATCAAGTCTGCCCTAAAACACGGCACGGGATGTGACAAGGACGCGCCAAAATTGGATAAGGTCGAGCACAACATGACTCGGGCTCTCTCTAAGCCAAGACCAACCCTCTCTAAGAAAAGGGACAAAGCTACCATCCTTGTTCAAGTAGGATTCAACCTTTAGACTTTTAATTAAAGTATGGATGTACTTTTAGTTAGAGTATAAGTAGACTTAATCATTAACTCTTACGGGATTCTCATTATATAAGGGGCCTCCCCACCCCCATTATATTCATTCTTTCTTTCTATTGGAAATAAGACTAACTCGGCTTTAAACCCAAATACTCTCGTGCATCTCTTATTTTCTCCATACTCATTTTGTTCTTACTTTCACAACAAGTTAAGCAACCAAGCTTAGGTTTCAAGGCTGCCCTTAGTTGCTTTGCTCGGTTGCTGGGTACAGTTATCTCCATGATCAACTGTGATACATCTGTGCATACCTAACTTATTCCTAATTCCTTCACTGTGACATTGATGTAACCTAGTTTCACTTAAAAATAAAAGACTAATAGACCAATGAGCAACAAACCACCCTAACTTTTGAACTGCTCCAAGACTACATAATCCTCGGCAGTTCCAACATAGTAGATTCATGGCGTCCAGCGGAGCCTCCGTCGATATCTTATGGTTCTTGCCAGTTGTCCCAACAACACTTTCGGAAGTAGAGGACACTCTATATCGCTTTGGATTGATTGGATGGGTGACTTCAGATTCCTTAATTTCTGGTGCTTAGAACTCTTGCCCTCGGAGTCCTCTTTGTTTTCATTAGGACTTTTAGACAAGGTAAAAGCCAGTCCATTGTTAATCTTATTTTCGATAACTTTGCTTTTAGTACTCTTGGGCAGTTGGTTTGCAGCCAGTTCCTTAGTCGTAGCCATGTGTTCCTTAGGAAAATTCGATACATGGTTCTCATGAGGAGTCGTTTCATTCGATGTCAAAGCTTCTAGTACATGATCATCCATAGTAGTTATTTCCTCCATTAAGTCATCATTGGGAAAACTTCTTTAAACTCATTCGTAAGATAACAAACGTCCTCACTCAGTTGGTCTAGATAGGACGTTTGATTGGGTTCGTCCGTGTAATCTTTAGGTGATGGGCCAGTGACATCTCCCATAGGGTCTGAGACGACATAAGCGGTCGAAACATTAGAGGTCTTCACATATTCAATTGCATGTTTTATTAGGTTTATTACTTGGTTGTCGAGAATCAACCTTCATCTAATCGCCATATTGTAATTTTGCCTTCGGATCATCCATTGGCACTTTTCACTTTGCAACTCTGTGGCCTATTATCCCGCACCTATGAAAGAAGTTGGGTAGGCGTTTGTATCTTGAAGGGTAGATCCGATTTTTACCTCTCGTACAAGAACTGATTAGAATAAATCGTCGTAACGACTTGGTAATATCAATGTCCTCTCTCACACGAAGAAATTCACCACGGTTACTGCCTTGAATGAACATATCAACTGCTATGACGGTTCCAAGACGTTTACCCAGTTCGAGTCCCATATTCATTGTCATGGCACCAAGCGAAAGGTTAAAAATCCGAATCCAAATCGACATGGAGCTAAACGAGTAGTCGTCCAATCCCTTTGTTGCATCTTGTGCAACCAAAGAAAAATAGTCGCCGTCCAATGTCCCTGGAAATCGGTTAATGACGAGTTCCATGTAGTCGTCGGAGCTGAACTTAACAAGAAAGGTACGTTCCTTCAGTTCCTGAATATCATCAATTCTTTGGGTGTCCCACACACCTCGAAATACCCTTGCAGTGTATTACCATCAGCCGACCTTTCGGTAATTAGTTTGCCAGTTAAGCACGTGGATGAATTAAAATATTATTTTAAGCACGTGGATGGGGAAGAAATGACAAGAGAAAAGATGGGGAAGATGGATTTTGACGGTAAAAAGAAAAAATATTATATTACGAATTAAAAAATATTTATTTATTTATTATAAATTTTAATTAAATTTAAGTCTCCTATTTATTTAAATTTAATTATTACAAATTACTGTAAAATTTATTAATTTTATATAGTGTAAGATTCGTGTATATAAATATATATGATATTTTTTTAAAAAAATAATGATGATATGTTATTATCTTATGTGACACATGAATACCATCATTATTTTTTTATGGTGATTTATAAAATAAAATTAAAATATAACATTAAATATGATTTTAAAATAAAAATAACTAGATAACCAAAACATAATAAAAACATGAGATTTCCTAAATATTTATATTAATAGTGTACATTTAAGTACAATTTGATTAATAAAGAAAACCGTAGAATTTGATGATTATAGACGGTTTCCAAAATAGCGCCACAATCCTGTATCTGAGCCAGTACTTTTGGCGGCACCAGAAGCGCGAGTCTCCTCAATCTGTTTCTTACCACACTTTCCTTAATCCCCTCAAACGTGGATTGAACTCCTAATTCTTACCTTATATTATATACTATCAAATAAACCCACCAAACCCATGTTTTGTTTTTCTTATCTTCTTTGAAAATCCAACAGAAACCGATGTGGGATTCAAAACTAATCCATCCACCTGTAAAACCTGGATTCAATCTGCTCGTTTGGATGCCATTCAATGGATTTACAATGTTTGTTTCTTTCCCCACTTATATTTAGTTCCTTCATTTGTTTTCTTTGTTAATAAATTTTCTTTTGTTTTTGATGCAAACGAGAGAAACCTTCGGATTCCAACTTCATACAGCTTATTTGTCTGTGGCATACTTTGATCGGTTTATTTCAATAAGATCTATTGATGTAAGTTTCATTGAAACAATGATCAATGGGGTTTGTTGTTTTTGAAATAATGGTTTTCGATGTTATTCATGAGAAGGAAGAGCAGATGTGGGCTGTTCGATTGTTGTCGATAGCATGTTTATCACTGGCAGCAAAAATGGAAGAATGTGAAGTTCCCATTTTATCAGAGTTTGATACAAAAGATTATCAATTCCAGAGCAAAGTGATTCAAAGAATGGAATTATTGGTACTCAGCTCATTGGAATGGAAGATGAATCCAATCACACCTTTCTCTTATCTGCATTACTTCGTCAGAAAATTCCATGCCGAATCCAATCCCAAAGGATTAATCTCCAAAGCTCTGGAACTAATTATATCCATCACCAAAGGTAATGAAAAATAAAGGTTCAATCTTGAATTATCAACTTAAACTTTGTGTTTCCATTACAGAAATTGAATGTTTTCAATGCAGAGATCAATTTGGTGGATTATCGACCGTCGATTGTGGCTGCAGCTGCAGTTTTAGCTGCTTCAAACAGTGAATTAACAAGAAAAGCACTGGAGGTGAAGATTGATTTCATTTCATTGTGGGATCTTCAGAAAATGTGAGCTTTCTTTTTCTCTATTTTTCTATATAATGTGTGGATATACTTCGTATTTATAGTGTTATACTGGATGAAACAGGAAGAGATATATGGATGCTATAGAAAGATGGTGGAAATAGAGAAAAGGAAATGTAAGACGCCAAAGTTCGTAATAACCTCAAAGTATTCGTCAATACATACCATAGTAGTTGAGGGCATTTCAGATGTCAGTCATGGAGGTGGCACCAAGAGGAAACTTATATTCAATGAGTCTGATCAAAATAGCCTGGCAAAGAAAATATGTCGGCCATGATGGATTCTAGTTTGATGTTTATTATTATTATTTTTTTCCTTTTTTAGTGATAGGATTTGGGTTTATTGATGAAAAAAGAGAGATTTTTGGTTGTTGCAATTAGTTTTTCCATTAAGATTGGGGATCTTTTATCCTGCAATTAAAAAGAGTAAGTATATAAGAAAAAGGGTAGGGTAGACAATGGGAAGAGTATTTATTTTGATGGGTTTTTAGTTTTTGTTGTTAATCTTTGATTTGTTGTTGTTGAAAGGAATGGTTAGATATGATTCACATGTATGTATCCTTGTGCCCTGCCTCTTTACCATGGGGGGCTTCCTTTGTCTTTCAAAAGGCTGAGAGCCGTAAGAAATGGGGAATTGTTTTTGTTTTTTGGGCCGTTATAAAGGTGAAATGATGATTGGATTTGCTTGTTAATGTTACTGTTTCATTTTTATTTCAATTTAAAATAAGGCAGTCGATTTATCGAAAGTCATTTCTTTAAAATATTGAATGATGCAATTAAACTGAAAAAAAACGAAGTTAAAGACCATTTTTTCTTAAGTTCCAAAGAACATTAAGTTTGTTCACTGTGAACTCCTAATCTGTCTGTCTTAAGCCAGCACATGTGAATGCCTGATGTTTATTTTTTAGGAGCTGTTTGGTTTGGGGAATGTGAGATTCTCATAGGAATGAAATTCATATTTCTATGTTTGGTTGGTCAGGAATCTCATTCCCGGTAATATTTTATTACCAATAGTAGATTTTTTGGGTATATTATCGGGAATATTATTACCCACATTTCCTTATGTATTGTTGGATTACCGGAGTTTTGGACTAAAATGTCCTTAATTTTTTTTAAAAAAAATCCTTCTTCTGTCATTGAATAATAAAAATTCTACGAAAGTTAAATTACAAATTTATCCTTAAACTAGATTTATAAAAAAAATCTATAATTAAAATTTTATATGAAGTTCAGATGTTAAAATAAAATTTTATTCTTTCATTAAACATTTTTATATTTTCAATTTTGTAAAAAAAATTTATAAATTTTATGAATTTAAATTTTTTAAACTTGTTAAAAAAACAAATATATAATAATGACAATTTGATCAAATATACATTCCAATAATATTTTATTCCTTTAACCAAACGAGGTAATCTTACATTCCTGCTACACCAACCAAACACAAAATACAACATTCACAGTAGTCTTATTTCCTGATAATCTTTTATTCTCACTAGTAATCTTACATCCGTGAACCAAACACACCGTTAAGATTTAAGCTTGTAGATGGAGGTTGAGACCATTGTTTGGGGGGTCAGTTTCATGGCATTTGGCCACTTTGGTGTCAGAGTTTCCACAATTTCACGTGCTTTCGTGGGGTTCTTAGGATCATTATTATTATTATTATTGCCATCCTACAGAAATTTTGTATTCTGCTCTCCATGTATCCTCTGACTATACAAGTCATATCCCAAAGGTTCAATGGTAAATCAGAATAGAGATAATTCATTACATTACACCTCCACATGTTTTTGGTTCCCAATGTCTCTCTCATCACCAAGAACTATGGAGAAACAAGTTTGAATTACCAAACTTGAGTTAGTGTCTATGAATGTACATTTTTTTTAAATGATCATACTCAGAAGTCTCGGCCAAAAACATTTTAAGAGACAATGGAGAAGGGTAAAACTTGCATTTCAATAATCACAAAGAGTGAATGAAATACTTACATGCCTTGCAACGTCAATGAAAACGAAAATAAGAAACAAGAGAATTTGAGCAACCTAGAGCTTCACCTATAAACAAAAAGTTAATCCACAATGTATATAAAAATAATATGTTTTGAACACACCAAAATGCTAATCATGATGATCCTTGGTCCTGAAATATCTATTTATCTTGTGATTGAGAAAACTATCTTGTCACTAATGAATCTACACTGGAAGTAGGAACATCGAGGCTTCATTGATGTTCATTTAGAAAACAGTGTTTATCGTGTGTCATACTGATATTGGCTTCAAGGCAGCAGCAATCGGCATGCCTAAGAATCCTATGAACACGCTTACGAACCATTGTGAGTAAGTGAGAGGAATTGTACTAGCAAATGTTCCCAAGAATTCGATGATGATGATTTGGAAGATCACGGTGCAACCGAGTACAGCCACGAAAACGTAGTTATCTAATATACCCTTGAAGACATTTATTTCCTCCATGTTACGTGAGCTGATCTCGTTGAATACCTGTGGAAATTATGGAGCATACTTTGTAAGGTAAATTCATAGACATATAGAAGTGCGAATTTCTTGTGCATAGCAGAGTATAGCTATTGAAGACAGAAGAAGAGTAAGTATCAAGAAGCTCATAATAGAAGGTTACCTGACAGAACAAATGAAATAAAAATAAGCGTGTTCAGTGTCAGGTCAGAATCAGGTCCGTCGAGACTAAACATTGCTTTTCCTTTCACCTGAAGATACCATATAACCATAAACTGATAAAAGGATTGCCCTAAGATATTCCTCCACGTCACATTACTGATAAAATTTCCTTTCTTTCCAACTGGTGAACGCTTCATTAGTTCATCAGTTGGAAGCTCAGTTACGAGCGCTAGTGCTCCCAGAGTATCCATAATCATCTTGACCCACAATAGCTGAACAGCTGTGAGAGGAGCGCTCCCTGAAAAATGATTTGGTGCAAAAAAGCATAAGCAAATATGACAACATTATATTCATTTGCAATGAAAGCATAAGTATAAAATAGATGTAGACAAAACGTATCCCCTTCTTACCAGTCGAACATGCCGAGGAGAAGTTAACAATCAGTGCGACGATGTTGACTGTCAGTTGAAACTGTACAAATTTTTGAATATTCATGTATACTGAACAACCCCATTTGGCAACTGTCACCATTGTTGAGAAATTGTCATCCAGAATTATGGCATCAGCACTCTCTTTGGCCACCTGGAATTGAGAATTGAGATTAGTTGAATCTTGATACAGTTAAATATCAAGCATTTCTTTATATATTTAGGGGGGGGGGGAATACTAGCATGTAATAGGGACAGCCATTATTACAACGTTCCAGCATCAAGTGCATGAAAGGTGGTGGTAGTATTTCATCATCAGGCAACACATATCGCATCAAAACTAATCATAAAGGCTTCCCTCCTATACTTAGGGGGCTTTTTCTCAAGCCCTTCTTCTGTACTCAAGTTTATGTCCCTTCTTTTATATCACACTAGGGCTAGCACTCCATTGAGAAAATGCATCATTATCTAACTCATTCTATATAAAATCATTTGATTGTGACAAGATGCATTCAGAGTACAAAAATGATAATGCATTGAATACCTCAGTTCCAGCAATGCCCATTGTTAGTCCAATATCTGCTTCATGCAGAGCTGGAGCATCATTTGTTCCATCACCAGTCACAGCAACAACTTCATTAAATGTACTTCGCAATTGCCTTACCAGAGTATGTTTGTCCATGGGGAGAGGATCGAGCCATCACCTGCAAAAGGAAAGGAAATCTAGGTGTGAATTACTGGACTTATCCGTGTTTAAAGTACCTAACTAGGTAAAGTTTTGAATCAAAGAATAAAAAGGTAGAGTTGGAATTAAAGTAAGCATTTGATCCCGACTCTTCTCTCTGAAAGCAGGGCCTTCAATAGCTATACCATCATCTGTAAGAATTCCACATTCCCTGGCTATAGCCTTTGCAGTGTTTATGTTGTCTCCAGTAACCATTCGTACAGTAATCCCAGCAGACCGACAAATAGCAACAGATTCTTTGACACCAGGGCGAACTGGAACTTTAATACCCACAATTCCTATACAAGTATATCCAGAAAGTGGAATGGCATTGTCAGGGGTGAAACCATTTTCCAGTTCCATATATGCAAGACACAGGGTTCGAAGAGCCTCATTATCATTAGCGAACTGGTTAATTGTAACATTAAGGTGGTTAATAGATTCTTCTTCCAGGGGAACAACTTCCCCATTTGAATTAATCACCTTGTCACATCCAGCCAAAACTATCTCCGAAGCACCTTTAGTGTGTGCTCGTAGACCTCCTTCAGTAATTTCCAGGACTACTCTCATTCGTTTCTTTTGTAGAGTTGAATGGCTCAACCTTAACAAGTTTTGACACCATTCGTTTTGCTTGGGAGTCTCCACCCAGAGATAAGCCAAACTATAACAAAGCAGTCTCTGTGGGTGTTCCCAATATCTCACGTTTTTCATCTTGGTTAATAACAATTTCACCCCCAGTGTTGGTAAAATTGATTGTAGCAGAAGTTTCACAGCAGATTCTGGAATATCAGAGCAGAGAGAAGCTTTATTGTTGTTACCAACTTCCCTGACACTCGTGCAAATGCATGATTTTACAAGCGTCATATGATTAGTGGTTAGTGTCCCAGTTTTATCACTACAAATACTTGTTGCTGACCCCATAGTCTCACAAGCTGCAAGGTGACGAACTAGTGCTTTATGTCATGGACCAAAACTTTTTGGCCCATGGACATTGACGCAAATGTTCACAAGAAGAGTTCTATGTGCGCATACTTGGGCTTGTTGGGAATGTTGAGTTGGCTAGTTCTTGGAGAATGCTTACAAGTGCATGAAGGATCAAGTCCGAGGCATCCGAGAGAAGCGACAAGGATGTTACATGTTCGATTGAGGTAATTTTGTCAAGGCTCGTAGATTCGGACCGAGACGTGTGTGTGAATTTCTTAGGATAATCCTATGGAGTGTTGGGCTTACCCAGAACCATTAAACCTGGCCCATTCATTGGAAGGTTTCATAAAGGATAATATTATCCAATAATTAAGGAGGTAAATACTTAATTAGGGATAATGTTGTATTTGAATTCAAATACCTTAGAGATAGAGTTCTTGATAAGGTAGGATTCAATCTAAGCCATCGATGTACTTTGATCTAGACCGTTAGATCTTGAGGGTCTCAACTATAAATAGAGAACTCATCCCCTCATTTGTAATCATTCCATCAATTCCATTCTTTTAGACTAATAAACTCAGGAATTTACTCTTATTCTCTCTGAGTTCCTTTGTTTCTAGCTTTCTAGCTTTATCGGCTTGTTCACTTTTGTGCTAAAGCCTTTGTGATTTGTATTGTCGAACGTGATAGCTAATGGTTGTTTCTTCCCGAGTTCTTTTGGAGTTCCAAAGTGGTTCAAGTCGTGGTGACTTAAGAAATTCCCACAATGATCATGCTTCTGAGATCCATTCAACCTTATTGGCTTGGATTAGCCCCAGTGATGTTTGGCTTTTGCATTGCTGCCTAATCCTACTGGGTTTTTCCGTTGCTTAATGAGTCAGAGACTCAAAAGGACGTGGTTAAGGCTAACTTAGGCATCATTTCGACCTGAAAATTGTCCAAGTGTCGCACGAATCGAGTAGCAGAAATCTAGTCCCGTGACATTTATCATTCGTCATCTTCTTCATTGCAAAAGCAAGGCTCAGTGTCACAGCCAATGGTAGACCCTCGGGAACCGCAACATCAACAATTGTAACTGCAACAGCAAAGAACTCCATCATTTTCAATGCCTCATCGCCAGACCAATTCCAGATTGTCCCGTCTTGCTGTTTATTCAGGAACAGTCCTTGCACCAATACAGCAAAAGGTACCACAGCAAAAAACAGGCCTACCTTCCCAATAATGGTCGCAACTCCATTCAATTTCACCTGCAGTGGGGTCTCAGCATCCCCCCTTCACTAAGGGTTGCCATCAATTTACCCCATTGTGTTCTCATCCCAACAAAAGTAACCACCATCTTGCACGATCCATCTTGAAGCTTAGTACCAGAAAGCATAAAAGGGTTGTCAGCATTCACCATTACCGGCTCGCTCTCCCCTGTTAAACTTGATTCATCAATTAGTACAAAGAATCCCGAGATAAAAAGGTTGTCGACAGAAACTTGGTCACCAATTTTGAGGTGTACAATATCCCCAGTAAGCAAATCGTATATAGACATTTTCTGCCTACGTGCATTTCTTGTTACCTGAATTGTGATTTTCTTTTTCTCCTTGTCCAAATCCTTGAACTGTAAAGATTGGCGATAATCACTTGTCGCTATGACAAACACAACCAATCAGAAACTCGCAACAATCCCAAGTCCATCATGAGCTCCCTTTGGCCCTCCTTCCGTTGCTATCCCGACTATCAACGACACAAAAGCACACACCCCAAGGTTGAAAACCAGCAGCTTTGACTTCTTCAGGGACAACATAATCACTGTCACTTGTTTGTACACCTGAAAAAAAATCAGTTAAGTGGAAAAGCAGCTTTCATTAAAAATAAAATGCAACAAATTTGATTTTTCTGCAAAAATCTCACCTGAGATAAATTGGAAGGCAACTTTCGAAACCAGTACAGCAATTCTCAATTTTTCCTGCAACGTTACAGATCAAGAAGAATAAGCTATACGATGCCAAATTTGAAATCACAATACTATTTATATTCACTCAAATGAGCTTAACATATAGAGGAGTTCCTATTTTTCGGTTTTCAATTGTGAAAGAAGAAACAGTTAAATTCGAGAAATCAGAATTGAATTTCAGCGCTATATATATATATAGATAGATAAATAAAGTAAAAAAGTGTTTATAATTTTCCTTCTTTGCTCTTTTGAAAAGCTTCGACAACTCTCCGAAAATTTCAGCTAATTTATAGACATCAAAACGTGATCTCATAAGGTTATAGTGAAACAGAAAGCAACACCTTACCGCACTTTATTGAAAGGAAAGAAAAGAAAAGAAAATTAGAACATATATTTTCAGCAGTTAAATCTAAATCAGAAACTGGATTTAGAAATTCAAGGCACCTGATTGGATCGTCGCATAGCAGCAGCCTCGTGGCGCTTGAAGAGGTTGGCAGTGAATCGAAACTGTCGTTTCGGATTATTAGAATTGTAGTTAACAATAGAGATAAGCAGAAACTACTTGATTTATTTATAAGCAGGTTTATATACACTGCATTAAGCAGTTAATTCTAACAACCCTAATAACCGAGTAACAACCTTTTAACAACTAATCACATAGTCAGTGCCACTTGTATGGAACAGTTACAACAAAACTGCACAATTATACTATCAACACTGCTAACTACACTGCTAATATTCTCCCTACTTCTTCTCGTTTCCTTGGCTAAAAGAATGAACACACACTTTGGATCGAAATTCCTCAAATGCAGCTCGAGAAAGAGGTTTGGTAAACCCATCAGCTATTTGATGCATAGTAGGAACATAACTAACGCATAATTGACCAGCTATCACCTTCTCACGAACAAAGTGAACATCAAGATCCACATGCTTAGACTGAGCATGATAGATGGGATTGGAACTCATGGCCACGACACTAGTGTTGTCAGACCATACAACCAGCTCGTGACACTGTTGGATGCCAAGATCAGTCAAAAGAGCATTTATCCAAGTTATATCAGTAGCTACATCTGCTACACTTTTTTATTCGGCCTCCATTGTGGACCGAGAAACTGTACGTTGCTTTTTCGAGCACCATGTAACCAAGCATTTACCAAGAAACACACCATACCCAGTGATGGAACGTCGATCGTCAATGCTAGCACCCCAATCCGCATCAGCAAAAGCAACAATATTCAATCCGCTATCAATAGGTGAGAACACAAGACCAAAGTTTAAAGTAGAACATAAGTATCGAAGTATCCTTTTTACAACAACAAAGTGAGCTTCCTGTGGAGCATGCATATATTGTGCAACTTGGGCCACACTAAACGAAATGTTTGGTCTTGTATAACAAACATACAAAAGTGAACCAACAACACTTCTGTAATCACTTGCATTACTAAGAAGATCATCTGCTTCATGAGAAAGTTTGGATGACACTACCATAAGTGTGGTACATCCTACAGCAGTCAACATCTCGGTCTTCTCAAGCAACTCAAGTATATATTTTTTCTGACACAAAACTATTGAGTCATCAACACGTTTGACCTCAATGCCCAGGAAGAAGCTTAAATCCCCAAGATCCTTAAGCAAAAACCGACCCTGCAACATTGACACAACCTCTTGGATTAGAATAAAAGACTGCCTTGTAATAACTATATCATCCACATACACAAGATATAAATATATACATTGCTAGTATGCTTAATAAACAATGAAGGATCTGCCTGAGATACTGAGAATCCCATTTGCAACATATCGTCTTTGAGTTTTATATGCCAATTATGAGGAACCTATCGAAGACCATATAGAGCTTTTTGAAGTTTACATACAAGATAATTGTCATGCTCATCAAACTACTCAAACCTAGGAGGTTGTTGCATGTAGACATCTTCACTTAGGTCTCCATTAAGGAACAGATTATTTATATCAACATGCCTAAGCTCCCAACCATTAGAGACAACAATAGACAGAACTGTACTAATCATGGAAAAGCGAACTACCGAGCTAAACATATCCCTAATATAATAACCATGGGTTTGAGAGAACCCTTTGGCAACCAAGCAAGCTTTGTATCGAATAATAGATCCATCAGGATTTCATTTAATACGAAAGATCCATTTGTACCCAACTGCAGTTCTGTCTTCAGGGAGTTGCACCAAAGACCAAGTACCATTATTTTGTAGAGTGTTGTATTCTTCATGTACAACAACAGTCGAGTGAGAAGACTGTAGTGCTGCATTTATTGTAGCAGGAACATCATCATCCACAACACTCGAAAAAACTTTAGGTTTAAAAATACCACACCTACTACGTGTCATTATAGGATGAATGCGAGATGAAGAAACATCAATACTAGGTTCAGTAACAACAGTAGTGTCAATACCAACAATTTCAGACTCATCACGACTAGCACCAGCATATGCACCAGCTGACACAACAGGTGCAGCACTTTCATGCTCAGTAGTAGCATTAGTGGCACACCAACATTGTCAAATTCGTCATGATCAGCACCAGTATCTACACCATTAGAATCTACGGGCACAACACTCCCTGATACAACATCATTTGAAGCACAGTCAACCGCACCATTCACAGTGGGTTGCACAACAGTATTTGGAGCATCATGTGAATACTAAAAACATGTTTTCCTCAAACTAGTAATAACTCATAAAGACTGATGAGTTTGAACCATAATTACATCAAATTTCAATGAACCACAAGTCCTCAGTCCTACAAACGAAAACACGAACTCATTAAATACAACATGTCGAAAAATGTATACTCTTCCATCAGACGCCAAACACTGAAATCATTTATGTCGAGGACTAACACCCAGGTAAGTGCAGGCTTGAGACCTAAACGATGGTATATGCTTTTGAAACAACCTTAGATGAGGAAAACATTGACAACCAAAAACCTTCATCATGGAACAATTTGGTTTCTTTTCATATAGCTTCTCAAACGGAGACAAGCCTTGTAGAACTTTAGTAGGAAGACGGTTAATCAAGTAAACTACTGAGATAGCAGCATATGACCAGTATTTAATTAACAGAGATGCCTGAGCTAATAAAACAAGAGCTAGTTCAATAACGTGATGATGATTCTGCTCTACGACACCGTTCTACTCAGAGGTGTATGGACATGTCAGTCGATGTGAAATTCCTTCACTGGTCAATACATATAATAGGCTGCAAAACTCACCACCCCAGTCAGTTTGTAAAGCTTTGATAGTACTACCAAACTGATTAACTACAAGTTTTTGAAACATCTGAAATACCAACACAGCCTCATCCTTCCGTTTTAACAGGTAAATCCAAGTGTGTCGTGTAAATACATCCATAAACGAAACATAAAAACGAAATCCATTGGATTCCACATGAGGTGGTCCCTACAAATCGGAATACACAAGATTAAAAGAAGCAACAATTGATGTATTTGATTCAATAAAGGGCAGTTTGTGACTTTTGCCCATATGAAATGCAACACATTCTTTATTTACATTGGAATGAACTTTGATGCCTATTTCTCTAGCTAATTTTACTAAGGTTTCAACAGTTGGGTGACCAAGACGCCTGTGCTAGAGTTCATCCAATGAAGAAGAAGCTAAGCTAGCACTGACTTCTGCAAGATTGACTGCTAAGGAGTTATTATCCATAGCAAACGAATATAAACCTCTATGCTCCTCTCCTTGAAGCAGAACATTCCCAGTTGCCTCATCACATACGCAACATCTATTGGCATGGAACTTAAGAAAAACATTATTGTCCCTAGCAAGCTTAGAGACGGAAAGCAAGTTCTTGGTTATTTAAGGAACATGCAACAAATCATTCAGCAAAAGCATACGTGAAGAAGCATGAACATGAGAATGACCAACCAAAGCTACATCAAGAGGCATACCATTGTCAACTAAAAGTTTACTTGGACTGAGAAACTCAAATGAATTCAAGACCTTATTGGAGTCTGAAGTAACATGATGCGTGGAACCTGAGTCAACCACCCAACGCTCAGATGTCATAGAAGTAACATGAGCCTGCAGTTGACCAATCACAACCGAACCAGATTTTCGTTTAGTACAACACTCACAGCCAACATCAGAGGATAAAATCGTCGAGTTATATGTAGAAGAAGCAGCTTTATGATCCGATTGATGCGATCCATAATTGACAGCAGCAACACACAAGAAATCTTTATTATATCTATGCCAACAGCGATCAACTAGGTGTCCAAACTTCCCACAAAGCTGACACTGCACCCGTGATCGACCAGGACCTTGACCACCAGTTCGAGTTCCAGATCGCTGATCATAACCTAAACTCGACATCGATGAGTTTTGGATCTCTCCCTAACCAACGTTTGCACTCATCGGTAAGGTTTCCAACTGATACTCAAAACTAACAAGTTGTGTTTCTGCATCAAGAAGCACAGTATAAATGTTATCTAAAGACAATGTTTCCCTTATTGAAGTTATAATTACCATTAAGAGCTGATATTCTCATGGAAGACCCTTCAGAATACTCCCAATGTGCTCAACCTGAGGCACCACAATGTCACAAGATGCTAAAGCATCGCAAACCTCCTTCACACAAGTAAGGTAAGAACACATATTCACACCACCTTTTTTAACGACTGAAGTTTGTAGTAGAGACTCATTACCACAATCGTTGAACGATTAGCAAAAAACTGGAAAACCGTATTCCAGACAGTCGCCACTGTTTCAGCACCGACAAATTGAAGAAGAAGATGAGCAATAATAGTAGACAATAACCATGAGGAAAGAGCACTATCTTGAGACACGAAGTCTTCATATGCTTCATTGACACGAACAATACCATCATCATTGACAATAGTCTCCGACGGAGTCACCACAACACTGATAAGGAATCGTTCCAGACGATGGCTCCGAATAGTGAGAAAAATTTGTTGCTTCCAAAGGAGAAAATTCATCTCATCGAGGATGAAATTTACCTTCTTGTGAGAGAATGACTTAGCACTGGTGGAGAAATCCATCAAGAAAGAACTCAAGCAATGAAAGCCAAATAGAAAACCCCAAGATCAGTGGCGAAAGATACCATATTAGAATTGTAGTTAACAATAGAGATAAGCACAGAAACTACTTGCTTTATTACTGAGTGTAAGCAGGTTTATATACACTGCATTGAGCAGTTTGCTCTAACAATCCTAATAACCTAGTAACAACCTTCTAAAAACTAACCACATAGCCAGTGCCACGTGTATGGCACAGTTACAACAAAACTGCACAATTATACTATCAGCACTGCTAACTACACTGCTAACACAGATTCTTGATGAAACCACAAACTTTCTGCCATCTTTCCAACGCTTCCTCCGACGAGTGCTTCGGCTTCAAATCGAAACTCTCATTAAAAAATTCTTCATTCCCTTTATATTTCAATGAATTTCAAATCGGTTTTGTTCCTAAAGCTATTTCCTCTGTTTGATTCAAATATACATGCATATATATTGAAAGTAGAGAAACTACCAGGAAAAGAGAAAAAAGATAACCGAGTAAAATAGCAAGTATTCTTCAGAAGATCTCCGGAAATGCTTTCACCAATATCGCGGAAGTTTCAGTTTCTATAAATTAAATAATTAAAGAAAATATTAGAAGCACGAGAAAAAGAAAATTTTAGATTCCATGTTGATTTAGTTTTGAATAAATATTTCAATTCAAAATTAATTGATCTAATAAAAATAAGTTTAGTGTTCATATTTTACTTACGAGATTAAAACTCTTTGATTTGACTAATTCCATAACTAATTTTAATTTTTATTGGAGTTGTAGTTAGCTTATCTGTATAGATTGAGCTTGGATTTATTTTTATTGTAATATTTTGGAAATTAAGTGGAAATAATAAAGAGTGAGAGTGGTTTTTTACCTTGCCTTTATATAGCTTTTGTATAAATGCAGGAAAGCATTATTTGAGTTTTCATACGCGGAGAGCATTTTCCCACGCGGTGATAAATCATAAAGATCGACTTTTTGTCCATATCATCCTACTAACAAAATTCAAATTAGCCCACTGTTGAGGAAACTTTGTTTAATTTGATTTTTTTTTTTTTGGGTGCAGACATGTGGGCATGGGCGTCCTAATAAATGTATCTTCTTCTTTGACCAGCGTTTTTTGCCTGGGTTTCCTGCCTTTTCGGGGAAATCAATAGGCCATTAAGAAGCCCAGCTCACCTAACTGTGGCCTGCTCCAACTTCGAAAACCATGACTTTGAAACTATTTATAATATATGTTATATGTTCCTATTGGACGGCTTGTATTAACCAAAAAATTGCAAAGGCTGCAACTTTTGATGTACTATATTTTTGTTGATGTCATTTTGCAAGATGACTCGATTTCTACTATTAAGGTAAAGGTTCCATTTTTGCCTCCTCGATGTCCTAACCGTGCAACTTTTAGGCGAACACATGTCCTATGACTTATTATATATTGAGACGAAAGATGTGTGAGAATGAGAATGTAAAGGAAATTAACAAAGGAAATTTGTGCCAATGTGTCGTAACGTTTTCGGTTGGGCCTCGAATTGGGCTTCGACTTGAAATAATTGAGTTGGGAGTCGCCATCGATCATTTATTTTATGAAAAATGGGTTGATCGGATACCTTATTTCTTACCTGATCTACGTCGTACCAAAGATGTGTCGGATTCGGGAGTCGGTTACAGTCAAGGAAGGGTTAGCACCCTTGAACTGCCCTTTCGGTACTATGTAATTTCCAATTGTCTTTAATTAAGAAAATTGAAAGTTTAACTTGAAAGGTAAAATAACGATATTAAATACTTACCCTTGATAGCTTTAAAAGTGTACCCTTTAGGAAGTCAAGAAACATGTTAGATAAAAATGTAGTAAAAATGAATAAAATAAAGAAGGTGAAATAAAAATAAATGCAATAAAGTAGAGAAATAAAACAAATAAAGAAGATGTAAGCAAGATAAATAAAATAAAATAAAGAGGCACAAAAACAAATATAAAAAATATATATATATAAATAAAATACATAAAATAAAGAAGATAATAACAATAACAATACAAAAATAAAAATAGAAGAGCCCTTATTGCCTTGAGCTATTCTGTAAATGATGTGCCTTAGAGCTGAGCGTAGTCGAACTCGAAGGTCTTTGTTGACAGATAACCCTTCTTTGAGTTGGATATCCTTCGTCATGGAGTTGAAATCCAATCTAGAGATAGATGCTGCTTGTGTGCACGATTCCCTTTGTCGTGAAGTTAAAACCGCGAGTGGCACCTTCGTCGTGAAGTTGAGCCTGGTAATTGGATATCCTTCATCGTGAAGTTGAAATCCAAGTAGGTAGTATTGTTCCAAGTCCAATATCCTCCGTCATGAAGTTGAAATTGGCTCTGAAAATTGTTTGTTGACAATCAGCCGCCCCTTCGCTTTGAAGTTGAGCTTGTGTTGTCTCGAGTTCAATATCCTTCGTTGTGAAGTTGAAATTGACTCTGAATGAAACTGAAAAGTTGTTTGTTGACAATCAGTCGCCCCTTCGTTGTGAAGTTGAGCTTGTGTTGTCTTGAGTTCAATATCCCTCGCTGTGAAGTTGAAATTGGCTCTGAAACTGAGAAGCCCCTTCGTCGTGAAGTTGAGCCTCAAGTGGCACGATATCCTCCGTCGTGGAGATGAAATCGCGGATGACCCCTTCGTCGTGAAGTTGAGCCTTGACTTGGATATCCTTCGTCGTGAAGTTGAAATCCAAGTATTGAATGTTGCGGGTGGACACGATTCCCTTCGCCGTGAGGTTGAAACCGTGGATGTCCCTTTTATTGTGAAGTTTGGCTTCGAGCTAGATATCCTCCGTTACGAGGTTGAAATCTACTCTCGAACCAATTGTGTCACTTCGAGTTCAATATCCTTCGCCGCGAAGTTGATATTGACTCTAGCTAAGACCTGTCTAGATTTTTTATTCTGGAATCTTGAAGTTTTGATCCCTGATCTTGAATTCTTCAAATATTTAAATCTGATGTTTGTTTTTTATCCTTGATCTGGGAAATGCTTCTAGACCATCTCAAATATATGCATGAGCCTTGATCAGCTTCCGAGTACATGTACTTTTCAATGAATCTTTGTACAGTAATATGCAAATATGTTTTGCATAAGTAAATAAATCATTAAGCTTAAGCTCAATCCAAGATGCTCAAAAGCAATTGGTTTGGAGAAAAAAAAGATTGTCTTTTATTCATGAGAAAAAAAAAAGAACAAATAACACAAGGCAAATATTCTGGAAGATGAAGATATGATGAGGTGTTAATGAATGTCTTAGATTTCAATAATGTGGGCACTTCTGGGCTGAAAAGTCGTTAGGTGACCTTGAATACAGCCTTTGCCAAAGGATCTTTGAGAGTGAGACAATATTCAGGAGAGTGCAACATTTCTCCGACTCGTTGAGTATGTGGAAAATTCAGATGCTGGGAGTTTCAACTGTCTGGATTTCTTAAATTATCCAAATTGCCCTTTCGGGTTTTCAACTTGGACCCATCCTTGGTTGTAAGACGCCCTTTGCGGGTTTTCATCTTGAACCCACCTTATTTTTTGTTCTTTCTCTTTTTTGTTCTTTTTTCTATTTTTTCAATTTTTTCAATTTAGGGCGCCCTTTCGGGTTTTCACCCTAAACTTTTTTCATTTTTTTTTTTTTTTACTTAGGAAGCCCTTTTGGGTTTTCATCCTAAGCAAAGTATTTCTTGACTGCATCTGAATTGATGGGATGTGGCATTTCGGGTCCGTCCATTTCAGCTAGGACAAGGGCTCCTCCGGAGAAGGCCTTTTTCACGACATAAGGTCCTTCCCAATTTAGTGTCCATTTTCCTCGGAAATCTTTCTAGACTGGCCAAATTCTCTCTAGCACCATATCTCATTCACGGAATATTCTCGGACGTACCTTCTTGTCATGTGCTTGAATCATTCGTTTCTGATAGATTTGACCATGGTGAATGGCTTTTAGTCTCTTTTCATCTATCAGATTAAGCTGGTCATATCTGGATTGCACCCATTCTGCGTCATCCAATTTAACTTCTGTCAAGACCCGTAATGACGAAATTTCTACTTCAATGGGTAGCACTGCTTCTATTCCATAAGCTAATGAAAATTGAATTGCCCCAGTCGAGGTTCGTAATGAGGTTCAATAAGCGAAAAAAGCGAAAGGCAACTTCTCATGCCAGTCTTTGTAGGTCTCGGTTGTTTTCTCCACTATCTTTTTGATATTTTTGTTTGCTGCTTCTACTATGCTGTTTATCTTTGGTCTGTAGGTAGTAGAATTGTGATGCTTTATGTTGAATTACTCACAAG